ACTTCGATTTTTTTCGACCCACCCCCTCAGTTTTTTTGATTTTTTTAATGAGGGGGGATGAGAAGGTCGAGAATTGCGTTTTTCTGATCTGAAGATCGAAATTCAGATTTATTAAATTGACATTGATTTTTGACTTGACTTAGTGCAAAGAATAGTAGGGGAAAAGAAAAAAACGATAAGCGGATCAGATTTTGTCCCCCAGCGGATTGGAAAGATTAAACTGCATAATGACCTCTTTGATCCCCTTTCATAAATTCAAAAAAATAAACTTTCATGATTTTTATCAATGTAAAAAAATGATATTTTTAAGCCATTTTCAGCTGAAAACTTCCTTGACCATTTCTCACTTTCATTTCCACGATTTTTCTAGTTTTTTTCTTCCCTAGCTGTCACGTTTTCGTATAGAAAAAGGCGTTCAAAGATCTATTACGAATAGATTTTTTTCATTTTGGGTTCATCAGAACTTTTATTGATAGTAATTTGACGGCCAAGTCCAATGATAAGCTTCTTTTTGTACTTTTTTTAGACAAGTTTTTTTAGAATTTTTTTCCTTGGAAAAACTATATTTTTTTCAACTTTTAAAACTATAAAAATTTTTCAAATTATTATTTTTTTGGCTTTATAAACTGCTAGGAGTTTCGGAAAATCTTAAAAACCTCGGAAAGTTGGCAAAACTCCGGGAAAGTTCAAAGAAAGTCTAGAAAAACTTTTTATTTTTCAAAAAAATTAAAAAAACCTAGATTTTAAGCTTTTTTTAGAATAAACATCATGTAGAAAATGAAGCAGAACCGCTATCAAAAAAACTTGGAATCAATTCTCGGTTATTTATAATTTTTTTCAAAAAAAGTAAAAAAAGCGATAAGAACCTTTTTGTCATGAATTTTGAAAAAAATTTGTAAAAAAATAAAAACTTTTTTTGAAGCGGAAGAACGATTATTTTTTTATGGAACAACTCTGTAAAAATTTAAGTGGCCACTTCAAGGTTTTGAAGTTTTAGTGGCCACTATAGTAGTCGAATTAATAGTCACTTGAGTGGCTAAAATTTAGTGGCCTCTTTAGAAGTCTAAGTGGTTCTACTAGACCATTAAAGCTATACTATAGTGATCTATAAGACGAAAAGTGACTTCTAGAGAGCTTATGTTAGTGACCACTTTAGTGTCCTCTCCAAGTAGCCCTTGTGGAACCCCTGAAGTGGTCACTTGAGTTTTTCCCAACGATTCAATGTCACTTCTTAGGAAAATTATTAGTGTCCACTATAGGGCTTGACAAGGGCTGCTTGGAGAGGACACTAAAGTGGCCACTAAACCCGCCTCTGTAGTGGCCACTTCAGTAGTTTTTCATCCAGTAGTCCTTCCAGTAACGCTGATAATTTTAAAACAAACAGATTGGACCAGTTATTTTGATCCATTGACCCCTAAAGTGGCCACTAAAACTTTTAGTGGTGTAGTAGTAGCACTTAAACCTCTGTAGTGGCCACTAATTTTTAACCCCTTGAATAGCCCCTAATTTGACTACTATAGTGTCCACTAAAGCGTCAAAACCCTATAGTGGCCACTAAAAATTTTCCCATTTTGTGAATTCTCAAATTGGACAATGTTCTTCTTTCTATTAGAAAATTCAAAGCTTTCTTAAATATTCCTAAAAAAAAACCTTCCTTTTTCCAAATCTCACAGGATCCTCTTTTTTTCCCCAAGCCGTTCTGATTCCTCAGAACCTTTACGACTTTCTCGATCTTCAAAGAATCGTTCGACCTGAACCCGTTGCCCCTAAAAAGAAAAACAAACGCGACAAACCGGGCCAGAAGCCCAACTCTCGTGCCAATTTTCTCCCCGTGTTTGTGTAAAATTCCATCCCATCCCAACTGGTTTTGGACTTTAAAGGGGATGGAGAGGGTTTGGCCAGGCTTTTCCCTCTATTCTGTTCTTTTATCATTTGAAGTTTCGGTTGGGAATTTTGAGCTTTTCTTCAGGTTTTGCTTGGGACTATCGATGTTTCCTTAAAATCTTGCTTGGGACTTTAAACCTTTTTGAAGTTTTTTTTGGGACTTTTGAGCTTTTTTTCAGATCTTACTTGTGACTATCAAGCTTTTTTAGATCTTGCTTGTGACTATCAAGCTTTTTTAGATCTTGCTTGGGACTATCGAGCTTTTTGTGAGATCTTTCTTGGGACCTTAAACTTTTTTAAAGTTTTTCTTGAGACTTTTGAGCTTTTCTTGAGGTTTTGCTTGGGATTTTCGACTTTTTTTTTTGAGATCTTGCTTGGGACTTTCAATATTTTCTTGAGGTTTTGCTTGGGATTTTCGACTTTTTTTTTTGAGATCTTGCTTGGGACTTTCAATATTTTCTTGAGGTTTTGCTTGGGATTTTTCGACTTTTTTTGAGATCTTGCTTGGGACTTTCAATATTTTCTTGAGGTTTTGCTTGGGATTTTCGACTTTTTTTTGAGATCTTGCTTGAGACTTTCGAGATTTTCTTGAGGTTTTGCTTGGGACTTTTGAGCTATTGCTCGGGACTTTTTAGATTTTCTTTAAATCTTGCTTGGGACTTTAGACCTTTTTGAACGTTTGCTTAGGATTTTCGGGATTTTTTGAGCTATTGAATGAATTTTGATCATTTTCCCATTTATTTGTTCCTAGAGACCCTGGATAGTTGTTTTTTCGTGAGAAATACCAAATTTGAAGCTCTAGAAGCTTGATTCTGAGTGAAATTAAGCTGAAAATAGGTAAAAATCCTGATTTTTTCGATCAAATTCTTCATATTTTCAAAGATTTCTCATTTTATCCTCAAAACTTGACTTTTGAAAGCCTCAGAAGTTGAAAAAAAATAAATAAATTTTCTGGAAGCTGCCGTTTTTTGTCATCATACTTTCCTGACAACTCAAAATTTCCATTTTTCATCAATTTTATCAGAAGAAAATTGAGCTTCTAAGCAATCACATGAAAAGTTTCAAAAAGAAACACGATTTTCGAAAGATTTTTTCGAGTGCCAGAAACAATTGACTTTTTTCGGCGCCTCCTAAGAGCCCTTGAGAAGAGGAAAAGCTTGAGGATAATATAAAATGCGTTTTTTCGTCTTTTTTAAGTTTTGATCTGGATCTTCTACAATCTGTTCAACTTGAAACTGTACTGGAGTTTATTTTTTTATATAAAAAAATCGAGAAGTAGCTCTTTATTGATCAAATTTTTTTATAAATCCCGTCAGGACCATTGAATTTTAATGACCAATATCTCATATGAAATTTCTCAAACTTTTATTCAGATAATGTCATTTTTTGTTATCATGATTATTTTTTATCAAATCATGCTTTTTTTCAGGATGCTTCGAAGGGCGACGGTGGTCGACTGTGACGACCTCCACGTCGAATATCCGAAGAAGAAGACGTTCGGATGCTGCTGCGGATGTTTCCCCGTCGACAGGAAGTATCTTTGCGCTTGGAGGTGATTCCTTATGCTTCACAGCCGCATTTGGAATGGCTGGAGGCGTCGCGGTTGGGACAGCTTCACAGCTTGGGCATTCCAAGGAGCTTCAAACCCATTCCAAGTGCGACCATAGGCTTGTACTAATGTTATATGAGAGGATTTTGATTGGAAAGGCCAATTTTTTATGAAAAATGATTGATAATTATTTTTTCTTACATTGATGGTGGTGTTACGCTATCAAATTTTTTTCGTGATTTATAAATTCAATTCATTTTTTTCAATCTTCTGAAACTGATATTGACTTGATCGATTTATTAGAAATCCCGCAATAAATTGAAGAAAAAAATCAGGAAACGTGGTAGGTTTCAAAGTTGTTCATGAAACGATCAAAAAGAGAAAAAAATAGTAAGTTTCAAAAAAATTTTTTTCAAAATGCTGGTCCTGTAACTACACAGTTTCTGGTTTACTCAGTAATAAAATATTCCGCGAAATTAAAAAAAGATAACTGTATTTTTGGAGAGTCAGAGAAAATTTCGAACTTTTGACATCAAAACACTGAAAAATCGCTAAAAATTTTTTTCAAAAAAATTTTCACTTCCTGGTCATTGATAAATCGCTGGAAAAAAATAAGATTATAGTCTCGAGACACTTCTTTTTTTCGGTTAAAGTTACACACTATGAGGAAAGAAGAAACAAGTTTCGCCTGTAATGTTAGCAGACGGCCGCGTTTCCAAGCCCCATTTCCCAAGCCAATGAAAGTTGTCCCCGTTCATTGCTTTTATATTCGCATCAATTTTTCCGAAACGTACGTTTTTAATCGTTTTTTATTGTTGAAAAAATGAAAAATTTCGAAAAAATCGGCTTGAAAATGAGTCATTTACTGTTTTCCAGAATGGTAAACCATGGAAATTTAGAACGAACGAGAAATTTTCATCATCACTGCTTGACGCTCTTCCTACTTTGATGGCAAACTTCGATCATAAACCTCGAAAAAATAGTAAAATTAACCAGAGAATACGGAAAACATGAGTAACAATTTTTTATGAAAAAAATAAAAAAATTTGTGAAAATTATAAGTGAAAAAAACTCATTTTTCCCTTGGCTTTTTCTGTACTTTTTCGCGAATAGTTCTCACGATTCCTCGGAAAAAAACATACCTATGAATCAACCAGGAATACGTCACAACATGAAAAACAAAATAAAAAGAAAAAAGTGTCAACATTTCCAATATTTTTGAAATTTCTCACTGAGCACTCGTTTTGCGCCATACCGCATTCGCTGACGCAAACTCTGGCCAGACGCACTTTGTGTGTCACGAGCGCCACAGTGTGTGTCCCTGACGTTCTGCTTATCATTTTTCTATTTTGCCCTCTGCGGCTTATCGCAAAAAAGGCACTTTTTCCGGCTCCAATACAATGTAACTTCATTTCGTCAACGATTCACACTGTTTCACGTCCAGCAATTCGCGCGTTTTCAACCTTGAAAACGTGAATTTCCCCATTTTACTAGTTGATTTGCGGCCCAAGTGGTTTTTCATTAACCACAAAACTTACTGGTGTTTATTGTAAACTCGTTTTACAATATGTTTATCGAAATTTTGCTGGGGTGAGTTTTTTTATTGAAAAAAATATAAATTTTTTTCAGTGAAAAAAATATTTTTTTATAAATTTTCGAATTCTTCATTTTTTTCAGATTACTCCGATGCTGCATAATCACAGCTTTGATTCCGGTGATTTTCGTCGTGATTATTCTCCCCTTTTTTTCTGCTTTTTTTCTTCCCACAATACGGTCAATACATATTCTTCCTCAATTTCCGTGAGTTTTTCATTGCTTTAAAAATTTATTTCATTAATTTTGTAATTATTAGGACGACTACCAATGACGGACTATGGAAATGTGTCGACGAACGGTGTTGATTCTATTGGGAGAGCATTTTTATGTGCCGGGAAAAGCGGGAAAAATCGGAGTTTGGTGGGTTTTCTGAGTTTTTTTTGCAAAGTTACAGCGAATATTTTTTTGCTTGGAAGATGAATAAAATCTATATCTTATTCAAAAAACTTTGCTAGAGTTTTTTTAAAGGCGTGGAAGCCCTAAATGACTTTTTAAACTACAGAAAATGACATTCAAAAATTTTTTTGAAAAACTGTACTATATATCAAATAAGCACCCCAGCAAAGTTTTTTTAAAATAGAATCGAACAAAAAACTGAATAAATTAAAAGTGTCGTAAAATAAATTGTTCTTGGTTACCAGTTGAATAAGATATAGATAAGATGGCTTGTGTTTACAATCTTGATGCATACCGTAATCCCAAAAATTATTTATTTCGCTATTAAATTTATTTTTGCTCAATTTTTTCATCGAATTATGAGAATTTTTGCAATTTTCAGGCACATACTGCCGTCGTCCTTATCGCTGCACTACCGCAAAAACGGAATTCAGCCGAGCGATGAGGAAATGGCCGAACAATTGGCCCGCGACGATAACAGGTTATTATTTTTTGAACTCTTTTTGGTCTCTGTTTCAATTGGCGGATTTTTTTTTCGTGAAATTTAGTTTGAAGTTTTTTTTTTGAATGCAAAGTGTTTGGGGGCAGAGTTTCAAATTTATAAATGAGCATGATTTAAAGTTTTTTCTGTTTGGATCCATAACTAATCAGAAAAATAAGATTAAAAAGCTCGGATAAAAAAATTTTTATCTGACTTGAATATCTTATAGTTTATCCTCTATGACATTTTTGAAGCTTTAAAGTTTGAGATTTTTGTTCTAAAAACTTTTATAATTTTATTTCGTTTTCCTGTTTCATAAATCTTCAATAAGAATTTTGAAGTGATTTTAAATTTGTTTATGGACTGTTCGTATCTGTTTTACTTGAAAAACTAGTCAGAAACTGGTTGCATTGAAATTTAATCAATGGCATTTTTACAGTTCTGTGAAGACTTATTTACCATTCTCTCAAAAAATTTCCAAATTTTAACCTTTTTTAGTTGAAAATAAAATCGTTTTATTGGTCAACTACAACTCGAATATGATTCAAAGAAATGTCCAGAAACATGAAAAATCATGATAAGATTGGAAAGAGCAAGTTTCAAAGCGATTTTTCAATAAAAAAAAACGAAAAAAAGGCTGAAAATCTGGTGGCATTTCTGAGGTGCTTTACAAAGGAGGTCATTTTACTTTTTGGTTGGGAGTTTTCTGGAATTTGCCAGAATGTTCCTAGATGTACCAAAAATAGATTCTGAAAGTCTCAGCCTCCAAAAATTCCCAGTTTTCGAGAATTGAGGGTTCAAAATGGCCCATTTAACGGATTTTGAGGGTTCTTTAAGGTCTCTATTCTTAAAAACTAGGAAGTTTTGGAGTTTGAGACTTTTTTGTATTTTTTTCTGGTACTTTAAGGGTTATTCTGGCCGATTTTCAGGAAACTCCCAACCGAAAAGTGAAATGACTCCTTTTGAGCCCCCCTAATAAGGAAGGGGGGGCTTAAAAATGTGACCAAGTTATCGGTCCTTTCTCGTTTTTTAATCCAAAAACCGCTTCGAAAGAAATTTTTATTTTATTTTCATTTTCCCGGTTCCTGGACCTCTATTTGAGAACTGAAATGACCATCCCTTGATTAGAATTTTTCTGAATTTCGTCGATTTTCCAGAGTAATTCTCTACGCCCACGGGAATTCCTTCGACCGGACAATGGAACACCGTGTACACCTGTACAACGTCCTGGCCAAACTCGATTTCCATATCATCGCTTTCGATTATCGAGGTGATTATTTTTGGGATTTAACTGATATTACGGTTTCTCAGAAAATATTTGTAGTCAAGTTTTCGATTTGAGCTTGTTCGTAGAGATTGGAAAAAAAAATGTCAGATTGGTCGGTATAGGGTTCTTTATAGTGTTAATGTTTCAATAATCTAAAAATTGCCTTAAAGTTTTGGTTTTTTTCATACTTTAAAAAGTGTCAAAAAAATCAAAAAAATTCACGGGTAAAAATGAATTTTTCTGTGTTTCTTTCGAGTAAATTTATGTCAAACTGGTTTTTATTTGACCCGAAATGCTACGTGAAAAAAATAGAGTTTATAAGGATTTGACAGCTTTTTCCTTGATTTAAAAAAATCATAAAAAAATAAAGAAAAAAAGTTTTTTTGAAAAATTAATGATCATTTTTTTGAGAAAAAAATCAGTCTTTAAACTGTTCATTTTATGAAGAATATTGTACTCTGAAACTTTTAAAATCCTCAAAAAAAGTCAAATAAAGCCATTTTTCGAAATTTTTTTAAAGCAGAAAAATGTTTTTTCTTTAATATGATTTTTGTTTGAAAGTTCAAAAAACGCTATTTTTATGTCTTTAAAAAAAATTCTGGCTTTATTTTTTAGCGATTTGAAGCTTTTGCTTACATGCTTACAGGAATATAACACGTTTTATTTTTTTTCCCACGAAAAATTGGTTTTCCCATCTGTGTTTGCTCATATTTTTCTTTTCCTTGTAATATTTGCTCATCGGTTATTTTTTCTCATTCAATTTTATGCTGTTTGGACAGCGTGTCTTATCAGAGTTTTCCGAGAAATTTTTTTTTATTGACTTTTTATGAAATTCGCAGTCCATTTTAAACGCATTAGCAATGCGTTTTTTGGCGCCAATTCAAAAATTATCAAATTTTGAGGTTTCCAGTTGAAGAAATTGATTATTTGCATGAAACAAATTACGAGGAAAGTGTTTTGGAATTTTATATCAGGTAAATAGAGAGAAATTTGAAGAAAAAGCTCCAATAACGGGTTATTTTTTGAATTGGCGCCAAAACGGTTTTTGGACATGAACTGGCCGTTTCAATTGAGATTGAATTGAATTTTTTTTTGTCTTTGTCAGTAAAAAAATTTGTCTGCAGGCTACGGCGATTCTGAAGGCTCCCCGACGGAGGAGGGAATCGTCAGCGACACGAGGACCATGTACGAGTACGTCAAGGCCCAAGTCGGCCAGAAGACGATTTTCGTCTGGGGACACTCCATGGGCACCGGGTTTGTTCATTTTCCCGTTTCTAGGGAAATGCTTAGTGGCCACTGTAGAGGGTCGTTAAGGACCACCTGGAGAGGACGCTAAAGTGGCCTCTATTTTCCGTTTTAGTGGCCACTTCAGTAGTTTTTCATCCAGTATTCCTTCCAGTAACTCTGATAATTTCCAAACAAACAGACTGAACCAGGTATGTTGATCCACTGACCCCTAAAGTGGTCACTAAACATTTTAGTGGTCTAGTAGTAGCACTCAGACCTCTATAGTGGCCACTAACCTTTAACCCCTTAAGTGGCCACTAATTTGACTACTATAGTGGCCACTAAAAATTATCCCAGTTTTGATGAACATTTATAACTTGGAAATCGTCCAGAGCTTCTCAGAATTGCTCAAAATCTCTCAGAATCGCCAGAGCAGTCACTAGAGGGGATCTTATAGGTTCCCCTTAAGGGATTACCTTAATTACTTCCATAGAGGCATTGGAGATTGCAAAAGTGGCTACTTTAGGGATTTCTGTTAGTGCCCACTCTAGGGGAGTTTGCTAGTGGTCCCTGACTTTTTTGTCAGCTTTTTTTAAGCCACTATAGGGACCACTTAAGCGTCAGGGCCTTCAAAGGCACCCTCTAGGGACCATTTTTTGACCCCTATAGGGCTTTTCTCCGCATAACCCCTATAGTGATCACTCCGCCACTTCTCAGCTCCCTGAAGATCCAAAAAAATTTTTCATTATCTGTCGAAACTGATTTTTTTGGTTACGAATACTGACCGAAAAAGTTTTTTTTTCGAAAAATTTGATTATTTGGAACTAAAGGAACCTTTACAGAGTTTCCACTAAAGTGGTGATGGACCTTTCGATGGAAGGAAGTCCCCCGAGGGGACTCATCCTCGAATCGCCCTTCAACAACCTCCACGACGCCATCGTCAATCACCCACTCTTCATCGTTAGTTTTGTTTTTAACCAAATCAAAAATTTCGAACTTAAAAATCTTTTACTGTTTCTACAATATCATAAGGACATCTTTTTGTTTCCAATTTTGATCCTCCAGGCGTAGAATGGTAGAAAATGCAATATTTTATCGTTGAAAAGTGATAAAAAAACGAAATTATATTGTTTTTTTCCACCGAAAGGGGGACAGAGTGACCCTTAAAGGGTCCCTGAAGATTCCCCTTTAGGGACCACTTTACGTCCCCGAACTGAAGCTTGTAAAAGTGGTTACTCCAGGGTTCTTGGTTAGGCTCTCTCTAGGGGAGTATTATAGTGATTCCTATAGTTTTTTTGATACCTTTTTTTCTTTCATTTGGTACCAGAAAGTTGGAAGATCTCTATAGGGACCCCTTGAGGTTTTAAGGCTTAGTGGCCGAACTCTGAACCCCTATAGGGAACTTTTTAGGACTTAGCGGTCAAACTTTAAATCCCTATATGGACCACCTCAGTTTCAGCCTTCACCTTCTATCCCTAACCCTTAAAGGACCATCTAAAGATTTACTTTTTTACAACTTTTATTCAAAAAAGTTAGGTTTTCCGCTTTTTTATGCTACAGAGGGGCCCTTGAAGGTTCCCCTCAAGTGACTAATTCATCCCGCCCCTATAGGGACCACTTGAATTATACCCCTAAAGAGAGTTCTATTTAAGCTTCTGTGGGGTCTGTTTTCCCTTAAAATCATTCTAGAGATCACTCTGACGTTTCTCAATTGCTTCAAAACAACTTTATTTTTGACAATTTTAATTCAAAAAAAGTTAGGATTTCCCCTTTTTTCTGCTCCAGTAAGAACGCTAGAGCGGTCCCTGTAGGAAGGTTCCTCTTAAGTGACTACTTCATCCCGGCTCCCTAAAGGGACCGCTTGGGGTCTTAGGAGGCGAACCCTAAATCCTATAGGGACCACTTGAATTATTTCTCAAAAAGGGGTTCTTTTACTTTTCTATAGCGCTCTTGTAGGTTCCCCTCAAGTGACTACTTCACCCCCCTATAAGGACCACTTGAATTATACCCCTAAAAAAACTCTATTTAATAGCCTATATGGTCTTTTTTTCTTAAAAAAAAACTAGTGATCACTTTGACGTTTCTTAATTTGCTAGAGTGGTCCCTATAGGGTCCTTGTGGGTTCTTCTCAAGTGAATACTTTATCTCCCGCCCCTATAGGGACCACTCGGGGGCTCAGAAGGCGAACCCTAAACCCTATAGAGACCACTTGGATTACACTCCTGAAAAAGTTATATTTAAGCTTCTATAGGGGCTGTTCTTTTTTTAATCTTTCTAGGGATCACTCTGACGTTCCTTAATCGCTTGAAAAGAATTTTATTTTGACAACTTTTCATTCAAAAAAGTTGGGGTTTCCGCTTTTTTCTGCTTGAGTAGGAACGCTAGAGTGGTCCCTATAGGGCCCTTGAAGGTTCCCCTCAAATGACTAATTCATCCCGCCCCTATAGGGACCACTCGGGGGCTTAAAAGGCGTATTCTAAATCTTATAGGGACCATTTGAATTATACCCTGAAAAGAGCTCTGTTTGGTTCCTTAAAGGGTCTTTTTTTTTCTTATAACCACTCTAGGGATCACTCTGACGTTTCTTAAATGCTTGAAAAGATTTTTCCGCTTTTTTGCGCCGCAGCAGGAACGCTAGAGTGGGCCCTATAGGGCCCTTGAAGGTTCCTCTCAAGCTTCTTCGCCCCTATAGGGACCACTCGGGGGTTTAGGAGGTGAACCCTAAACCCTAGGAACCACTTAAATTATACCCCTAAAGAGAGCTCTATTTGGTCCCCTATAGGGGCTGTTTTTCCTTCTCACCATTTTAGGGGTCACTAAACTTCCTTAGCCGCTTGAAAAGCTATGTTTTGACAATTTTGAAATTTGACAGATCTTTTGCTGGATGAACGAGTTTTTCGTGCAAAATTTCCTCATGAAGCCCCTGAATCGAGTCGGTTTGCACATGGAGACGGACGCGAGAATCGCCAAGTGGGAGCTTTTCTAGAATTCTTCCTGAAGCCTGTTTCAAAATTATCTTTTAACAAGGGTTTTTTTTTTCCAGCGTGACGTGTCCCATTTTGATTCTACACGCGCAGGACGACGAAACGTTGCCGGTCAAGTTGGGCAGACGGCTGAGGGTTCGTTTTTCCTCAAAAACTCCAGAAAAGAAACCCTTAGGGACGGCAGAGTAGCCCCTAAAGGGGTGACCTCAAGGGCCCTTGAAAATCCCCCTTTAGGGATCACTATACCTTCCTATAGGCCCCTACACTAAAATATGTAAAAGTGGCCACTCTAGGGGTATTAGGAGAGCAGGCTAGTGGTCCCTAGAGAAACAGAAATAAAAAGACCCCTTTAGGGACCACTTTAGCTTCAGGAGCTTGATGTAAAAACTCTGAACCCCTATAGGACCACCTTTAGCCCTCAAGGAAGCAGTATTTTGACCACTTTAGGGACCACTCTGGCTTTCCTGGGTTAGTGATTGTAAACTTAAATTTTGTTTTGAAAAGCTTTAACTGTAGAAAATTTGATAGCTGTTCCATCATTTTAACGTTTCTTGTTGAGTTTTTAAACCAGGAATTTTTTCGCTCCTCAGTAATACACTTTCCGTTGATCGCACACTGTCTGACCTGTCTGCGCTCTCTTTTCTCTCACCGGAAAAGAGCTAGCCAAAAAAAAAAGACAGAAACGATATTTCTTCAGAAGGACGGCGTAACAAAACTTAAAAGACCACTTTAGTAACCACTTGAACTTTGGAGGCTCAGGAATCAGAATCTGAACCCCTATAGTGACCACTTGAGCTTGGGAGGCTTAGGAATCAGAATCGAAACCCCTATAGTAACCACTCAATTGTTATCCCTCTAGGTTTGTCCACTATATGGGCTTTTTCTCCCCTAACCTCTCTAGTGACCACTTGGACATTCCTAATTTACTCAAATTTTTTTGTTTGAAAAATTTTTAAAAAAAGTCAATATTGCTATCTACTATGGAAAAACATTCCCCTCATCATTTCAAAGTTTCTTTTCTGAATTTTCAAGCCCTCTTATTCCTTTTTTTAATTTCTGAGGCCCTAGATTGACCACTCTAAGGCTTAAAATTGTTATGTAAAAGTGACCACTTTAGGTGGGGGTATAGTGGTCGCTAGAGGGACAAAAAGTAGAGTTAAACGTAACAAAAATTGAAAGACCACTGTAGTAACCACTTGAAATTTGGAGGCTCTGGGATCGAAATCTAAACCCCTATAGTGACCACTTGAATTTTAGCCTTTTTTCTCCCTATCCCCTCTAGTGACCACTCGGGCGTTTCTTATAATATTATCGATTTTTCGAATAACAGGATCACTTCCAGGACTCGGCCCTGACGGCGAATCGAACCGTCGACTATGTCGAATTCGAGGCCTCGCGCCGCTTCGGCCACAAATACATCCACAAGGCGAAAGAACTGCCCGAAGTCGTCCGGAGTTTCATCAGAAAATGCGACGTCATGGCCTCCTAGCTCCTCCTCTCGATTACTCACTAAAAAACGATTCACTTGCCTTTTTTTCCTCCTTGTATATCATCTTGTTGCTTTCTTCCCACTGGGTACTTTCCTACGAGTCGTTTCCCTTTGACATTTCAACACAAAAGAACTCTCCCTCGTGAGCTTATTCTCCCAGTTTTACTCACTTTTTGGACCCTTTTTTTGATTTTTTTTTTCGGAGGGTTGGGTTGAGAAAATTGATTTTATCTTGAAAGTTTAGATTGAGGGTACGGATTTTCTCAAATTTTGGCTTGAGAGGATTGATTTCTCTTTGAAATTTTTGGCTGAGAAGATTTTTTCTCTAAATTTTGGGTTCAAACTATTGATTTTCTTCGGAAATTTTTGGCTTGAAAGGATTGACTTTTTCTTCCTCTTAAAGCCTAGGATTTTTGAGTTCTTTTTTGGAAATTTTCAAATGAGAAAATGGATTTTTTTCCCGAAATTTTAATTTAAAAAAAGATTGACTTTTTTTCTTGAAGTTTTTGGACTGCGAAAAATCGATTTTTTTACCTGAAATTTTTGACTTGATTGATATTTTTTTCTTTCAGTTTGGATGGAAAAAAATTGATTTTTTTCTTCAATTTTTTTGGCTTGAGAGGATTGATTTTTTTCTTAAAATTATAAGTTAAGATTTGAATCCCTGAATACCTGCGATTTGGGGATCGATTTTTTTCATCTAAATTTTTGGGTTCAAAATATTGATTTTTTTCTCGAAAAAAATCTTGAAATTATGATCATTTTGTTAGTTTCCAAGCAAATTTTAGTCAATTCAAGCGATTTTTTTATAATTAGAAAAATTTTTCAAGTTTGTTTTTTTAAACCAAATTTTGAAGCTATTTTTTTCATAGCAATTATCGATTTTATTGCAATTTTTTTGAGAAACAAAAAAATTCAGCAATATTTTTTTGACTTTGACTAGTTTTTTTCCATATTGATCTTGTATGATTTTTGGCAATTTTTTTCGAAAAATGGATCAATTTAATTTTTTTAATCAAAAGTCCATTGGAAGTTGGACTAATTGGGATCCTTTTTTTCATTTTTTTCAAGATGAAATCTGGTAGAGAAAAAAATCGTTTTGAAACTGTCAGACCTGTCTGCGCCCTCTTTTCTCTCACCGGCAAGAGAATTTGAAAATAGAGAGTGAAAATGAGAGAGTGCAGAGAAAAAGCTTTTAGGAATTTTTCTAAATTTCTCACAGATCTCTTCGAATCTCTCAACCCAATCCTCCCTCATAAAAAAATTAAAAAAAGGCCTTTTTCTGTATTTTTTATTTAATTAATAACTTGTGATATTCAGAATGGTTCGAATCATTTCGAAATTATCAAATTTTCTCAATTTTGTCCTAAAAAATCAACTAGCTTTCACAATTTTCGACCTAGTCTCTCATTGATTTTAGTTCCCCCAGTAGTTCTCATGAATATTTTTTTCCTTGCAGGAAATCTCGAAGACCGGAAACCTTTATTACATTGTGATACAGAAAAAAAAACCAACAAATAATATGGATGATAATTTTTTGGGTACAACCCGTTCCTTGTATTTTTCGTTTGCGTTTGGATCAGATTTGATCGGAATAAAGATAATTCAAAATAAAAAAAATGTTAAGGTGGTTTTCAAAAGTCTGCCTGTGCTATTGGTGTTATTAATAAAACTCAAAATTAATCATAAGGTTGAAATTTTCGCAGTGATTCCAAAAATATTGATTTTTTATTCAAGTCTGTGTTGATAGGAGAGTTTCCCGTTTCAGCTTGACCTAAAATTTATGAATTTTTGATTTTTCTTGCTCCTAGGGTTCTAGATATGACAATAATTTCTTATAAAATACCAAATTATTCATGATTTCGCCAGAGTGGCCCCTAGAGGGAAGCTTAGCGACCCTTGAAGGTTCCCCTCTAGGGACCACCGCTATAGGGTTACTAAAACTTCGTAAGTGGCCCCTAGAGGGGTTTATGGTCTAGTAGAGCAAGCTACTGATCCCTGTAAGTCTTTTTCAATTATAAAATTATAAAAAAAATTGAAATATCTCTATAGGGACCACTCAAGCTTTGGAGGCTTAAAGGTCAGACCCTATAAGGACCACTTAAATTTCACCCCTATAAGAGGCACTTTTTTGTCTATTATCCGGGTTTTTTTCCTCTAAGTCCTCTGGGGACCACTGACGCTCAAATATTGTGTTTTTTGACAATTTTTCTATTTTCATGAACCTTTTTAAGTCCTCGAGAAGGAGCTTTTATTTTTTTTTTTCGAGTTATTTAGACTTTGCTGGTGTCTTTGGAACCACTGCGAAAAATTCCAATAAAAAAATTACCTTGATGATAATTTAGGACTCTCAAGCGATCTCAATCTGAACACTCTCGTCGTTGTCGTCGTTCTTGACGGTCAGAACGATGATCGGAGGTCTCGCGTAGCCGTGAAGTTGTTCGTAGCAACGGAGTCGTCGCGTCGTGTGGACGATCAGGATCGACAGCAGGGCCCAGACCAATGGCAGGACGAACTCGCAGATCACGAAGAGCTGGAAAAATGAGTTAGAGTTTCATTTGAAAAACTTTAAAAAAAGCTTTAGTCAACAGGGCAGGTCATTTTAACTTTCCTGGAAATCGGCTATAAACCCCTTGATGTACCAGAAAAAGATCCTGAAAGGATTAACCTGCACAACTTTTTAATTTCCGAAAAGTGAGGGCCCACAGCCCTAAAGCCCCGCGGTGTGGTTTTGCGATCTAACGGCAGTCAGCAGAAACGGCAAAATAAGAAAAAAAAAAGACTAAAATTATGACTTTCCAACCTAGGCTCACCCATAGAAAATCTCAAAAATTCAATGAAAAACTTTTTTGACAGAAAATCCAGGGGCTCAAAAAAAATATTCACATGTTTCTACGCTCCAAAACTCAAAAAAAGAACACTTATACAAAATTTTCCAAGAAAAAAAAAAATTGCAAAAAAAATTTTCACAGCGCAGAGACCGAACCTACGACCTTATTTCTACTACTCCACCGTCTTCCCCACTGCTCCTCGTTGCCATCGCTGACCTCTGCCGCCGGATCGCAATACCACCCCGCGCCAGCATTTTCTTACCTATGACGGAGCTTTGAAAAATCATATCTATGCTTTAAAATTTTTTCGTAGAAAAGTAATTTGTTTTATGTTATCAGAAGAACGAAATCTACGCATCCGTCAAAAATAAGCTCAAGTGGAGACGATGAAATTTTGGACTTTTGAGGGTCCATAACTTTTTTCACAGACTTCGTTGGCAGATTTTGGGACCGGATTTGGAATTAGCATGAAAAACTTCATCTAGTAAAACTAGCCTCATTTAGGGGTCTCACTGCGATAAAAAATAAAGAAAAATAGAAAAAAAAGACCTTATCTTCACTTGTCGCGTGCATTTTTCGCGAATCCTCTGTTGTAACTCCGAACTGACCAAACGGCAGCCCTGAACAATAATTTGTAACAGAAAAAGAGTCCCAAAACCAGCTATTTTTATCGAAGATCCCTTAAAACACTCAAAAATTCTATTGCTACCCTTTTTTTTATCTCAAGACGATTATTTTCACAATTACATGAGTTCTCTGTTTCCCAGAGAGGCCGAAGCCTGCAGTTACTGGGCCTGTTTTGTTTATTGCTTTTGGCTCTTGGGCGATTAAAAATATGGAAAAATAATCTGAGGTTTATTAGAAAGACTCCTCGGTTCCGTGGCCGTCGATTTCGGAAAGTAATTTTGATTTTTCGAAACACTAGCGCGTAAGTCGTTTTGGGTCGGGCGCAAAGAACATTCGCTTTCAAGCCCTTATTTCATTAGTACTATGCGTTTTCAAGTCGATGAAAACTGTGATTTTTGCTTTCTTTTCTCTCAAAACCTGAGAAATCTATGTTTTATAGTCCATTCCCAGCGACTTGAAGGTTTTCGTGTGTCTGCGTCTCTCTGTTCCCTCACCCGATAGGCCAGAGATGGAAATAGCATGTCTAAATGAGAGGGACATCGAGAGACAAGGAGGGCGCAGATAAATTCGAGTCGCTTGGAACCAAATGAAATAAAATGATGTCTATCGATTTTATTGCGTTTTGAAACGGCAAGTTCATGTGTGACGAGTTTTAGCGCCAATTTGAAATTTTCCCTTTTTTCGCATGTCCAAGCTTGAAAATGGCTCTTTTTCTCTCAAAAATGAACCTCAAAACAAAGAATTTTCCCCGCAGAACCTTATAAATAAGAAGAGAAGCTGAATTGTGGTGCAGGGAAGCGTCAATAACGGTTTCCTTGTCCACATCGCCGCCCCCAGACCCAAAACACACGTGAAAATATCGGCGAACATCCGCGCCACCTAGTAAAAAAATTCATTCAAGTGAAAATCTAAAAATTCTCACCAAATAGTACAAATCAAAGCTTTGAAACTTCTTGTAGAACCTCCAAGAGTTGGGATTTTCGTTGGTGTCGTCTCTGGAAATTTGGCATTTTTTTTTCTAGTTACTGTTTCAAGTTATTGGTAAATTTCGAGAGTGGATGAGCAATTTTAATTCGTAGACTGGTTGAAATAACAAGGTCGCACGTGGAATAGCTCGAAGCGTCGCGGTCGCGTTGCGGTTTTTGCTCAGAAGCTTGCCCTATGGTTTTAGATGTCATAGGGCGCAAGTCGTTTCAAGTCGGGCGCCACCGCAACTTTGATCCAGAATGGCTCAACGCGTTGCGGTAAAATAGCTCGAAGCGTCGCGGTCGCGTTGTGGTTTGGATGCTGCTCAGAATTTTGCCCTATGATTTTAGGTGCCACAGCGCGCAAGCCGTTTCGAGTCGGACGCAAGCGAAACGCCTTGTTACAGAATGGCTCCAGAGTGGCTCAAAGCGTTGCGATTGCGCCCGACTTGAGGCGACGCGCGCTTAGGCATTTTAAAGCATGGGGCAAACTTCTAAGCCGCATTCAAACCGCAACGCGACCGCGACGCTTCGAGCTATTCCACCTGCGACCTGGGCGTGTATATTGGCAACGAGATTACGTATCAAAGTTTCATATGATCAAAATGATCCAATTTTACTTATAAATAACTTAATGACTTTCTAATTGTCCCAAAATGACTCTAAAATCCGAACCTCAACAAGTAGGCCCAATGCATGATGTCCACAAGACACAGCAGCACAAAAAAGGCTTTCAGCAGCCGAAACCGCCGTTGCGGGTTGAACGCCGACCACGTCTGCAAGCAGTTCAGGACCGAGTCACAGCCGCGTCGCACCTGGCTGTTGTCGATGCGCGACGTCTGGTTGGACCGGCTGTCGTCGTTGTTCGACTGCGGACTCTCCTTGGTCCGGATCTGCAGCGTGTGCGGCACTTTCGGCGAGTTGCTCATCTCCTGAAATGCTGCTGGTCTTCTGGATTGACATTATGACTTTTTCTCATCTCTGTATTCTTTGGGAACGCCAGAGGGATCCCTATAGAGGCTAGGGAAAACGACCTTTCTAGGGGACAAATGAGTGCACTCTATAGGTGTAAAAGTTAGGTGGCCCCTATAGGCGTTTAGGGAAAGATCTTTAATTTCAAGTGGTCCTTATAGGGGTCTTTAAAGTTCAAGCGGTCCCTATAGGGGCTAGGGAAAAAAAAACAACCTTTATAAGGACAAATAAGTGCTCCCTATATGGGGTAAACGTTTAGTCCCTAGATCTTAAGTTCAAGTGGCCCCTAGAGAGAATTTTTCTCATCATTTGAAAAAAAAAACTTGGTCGGTTAATCTTTTGCAGATATTTTTATTTGAAAGGTCCCTAGATAGGGACCGCAAAGCCACGCCCCTTTTCGCGATAGAAAAAGTGGCTTTTTTTTGGTTTTCAACTTTCATTTTGTTGTAGTTGTAAAATATGTGGAACTGGCGAATAAAATTTGACACACATGTACAGAAAAAGCTTCCTCTTTCGTTTAAAAAAATATTTCACGCTTTTTTTGATGCGTTCTCGCGGAATGTCGTACAAAAAAACGTGAATGGAACTAAAAAAATTTTGTCATTTTTTTGCTTTTTTTCATGTGTTTTTCAGGTCGAACGCACTCTTTCTTTTTTTATATAATGATTTTTGATTCAAGTAACGGTAATTTTTAAAACAATAAAATAAAAAAAATTCGTCTTTGCCAAAAATTTTTAGGGAGTGCCGAAAGTCATAATTCAAAAATATCGTTAATAAGCGAATATAATCGAGTTTTTTTGTTTTTTTCAAAAAGTTAGACCATAGGCTTACTTAAATTTTTTTCTCCACAGCATATGTGCTGGAAAAAAAGTTGTTTAATACGCAAAAATGCACTTGAAAAATAGAGAATAAAATTAGCGGCGTTTATCACACAGAAAGCGGTCGAACGCAGGTTTTTTTCAAACGATTATATACATTTATTAGTAAAAAAATCTTTCAATTAAAAGAATAAAATAAAAAAATTCGTCTTTGCCAAAAAAATTTACGGGGCCGTTTTAATGCAGTGATCGTTAAACGAGGCAAAAAAAGCACTGAAAAAAACTGTTTTTTTCGAAGTGAATTTCCACGGAAAAATTTGAGTAAAGATTTGCGAACATATTCTGATAAAAAAATAGCTGAATTACTTCAAATTTTTTTATTTTTTTGAAATAGGCAATCTGTGCTATTCAAACGGCTCAAGGCTATGGCGGATGGAAGTTCCCCTCGCCAGACCTAACAACTTGGCGCAGCGCGTGCGCTGCGATTTTTTTCATTTTGAGGTCGCGAGTTCGATACCCGCAAGCGTCAGTTTTTTTGTTTTTCTGGAAAAATACCGACTTTTTCGGCAAACTAGCTAATTTTTCATCATTATAGAGCTCTATTATGATTTCTTACATCATAATAGACCAGTATCAAAACTTGTTCTAAAAAGAAAAAAATCGAGAAAAAAATGTCTAAAATGGATAACACCAAAATTTTCAGTACTAAAAAAATGGTGCGCGGCGCGCCACATTTTTCGTCATAACTTTTTTCATCCTCATTCTTTTCCGAAAAACTAAACGGTTCTGAGTTTCGAATCGAAACAGCTATCAAACCATGCAAAGCTCAATGCTGAAAAAAAATTTTCGAAAATTGGTCTGCGGTCCCTATCCCTAGAGGGAAAATTTAAAAATTGGCCCCTAGAGAGGTTCCTCCAAGGACCCTTAAGGAGTCCCTCTGGCGTTTCCTTTTACTTTCGCAAATTTCGCCAAAAATCGAAAAAGGATGACTTCTCTGCGCCCTCTCTTTTTCACGTGCTATTTTCGAGCTTCTATGACCTTCCCGGTGAGGGAAAAGAGAGCGCAGACAGGCTAGAATTTTTCGAATGATCCTGAAAATCGAAACTAGGCTTCTAACCTCGTTGTTAGTGAGTATATTGATGGTCGGACTGGAAGCAGAGACGGAAGGTCGGCTGACGACTTCGCCGTTCACTTTGACCAGAGTATTCTTTCGCGACCGGCCTTCCCCGATCTGCAGGTCGATCGTGTTCCGTCGTGACGAGTCGCTGTCTTTTACCTGAGAAAAGGTGAAAATTATGAGGGGAAAATGCTTTGAGAAAACGGCAATATCCTTGAATCTCGGAATCATCCGTGGCTTTTAAAAAAATTGAGAAAATTTTCGGAGGGACTTCAAACTCCTGAATTCCCTCAAGATCACCTTCAAAACTTTAATAAGTTTCTAGAAAAAACAATAAATTTTGAAAGTCTCAAGGAGGGCCTTAATGCCCTAAACAGCCCTCAATCTCGAAAAAAAAGCATTTTTAAACATTTGTAAGCCTTCAAAAACTGATATACTCTTCAAATTTACATTGGCAAAAATAGATAGCACCAAAAAGGATTCGAACCTGCAACCGAATTTCCACAGCGCAAGGCCGCTAGCCACTACACCACGCAACCTGCTGGCAGCTAGAGTTAGCCGCCGCGACATATTCCCTCCTCCTATCTTATGCATTTTTCGCGTGCAATCTTTGAGGCGTCATAACTCGACTAGAAGGCAAAATGCGCACTTTTTTTTTAACTTTTTTGGATTCTGGGTGTTCGAGAGTACCTATATACCAAGTTTCATTATATTCCAATACCTCGACCTTTCGCACTTTCCGTGTATAACTCAAGTATTTTTTTGCTTTTGCGCGCAAGTCGTTTTGGGTCGGGTGCAACTTGAAGCAACGCCTTTTCAGCGAGCTGTTTGTGATTGAAATTTGAAAAAATTGGCCACCTGAACATTGACTGAAGTTTTCCGAAGACCGTCGCCTTGTTTCAGCACGACTTGGCAGGGACTCGCGATTTTCGAGGAGGACGAAGATGACGACACTTTCTGCAACCCCATTCATTTATATTTCAAATTTTTCCCTCCAAAGATAACTTCTAAAATAGGTTTACGAAGATAGAAATGAAAGGATCTCTTAAAAGTGGACTTGAATAATAAGAAGCCTTAAAAAGAAGCCTTGAAACCGAAAAATTGGAAAATCTTCGAGTTTCAGTTTATTTTTTAAGTACAGGAGTTCCAGTAAAAGCCGCCGTCTCAAAAAAAAATCTGAAAAAACCTGATTTTTACCAAAATGTATATCATCAGGCAGTTGTATTGTGAATTTTTCGGGACTTGTTATTTTTTTAAAGATTAGAAGCCCGAAAAAAACCTCAAAAAAATCTTGAATCAATTGATTTTTGTAAATTTTTTTCAATAGTTGCCGTTTTTTTCTCAACGAAAATAATTTTTTAAAAATATATTTAAAAGGTATTTAGAGTTCTTTATTGATATAGGAATGTGTGAGAAATTGTAAATTCGAAAAAAATTAATTGAATTTTTAAACTATCCTTGAAGTTTTCAAAAAATTTGAGTAAGGTTTAAGAGATTTTTCTGGATTTTTTTCCTCTGGAAATTTAATTTCGAGGATTTTTAAAAAGTAAATCTGATCAATTTCATCATAAAGACCTCAATAATTTTCAAAAAAAAATTTAGAAAACCCAAAAAAAGACCAAAAACGGAGAACGTACTGCTGAGAAGAAAGCTTAGGTCTCAATTTTCGGGCCGAATAACACGAAGAAGAAGAAGAGAAAAAAAAAAGTCGAAACAAGGTTATGTTCGCCGTTTTGCGTCAACAGACAATGCATTCAAGCTCTTGGCAAAAGCCTTTTTTCTTTAAAAAGAGAACTTTTTCGAATCGGGTTATGAATGCCCTTGGAAGGTGAGCAAATAGCGGAATTTTTTTCGAGTTTGCAGTTTGCTCTTTTATTTTCTATTTTGCAAGGCTTCAAAAAAATATTCATTATTTTCATCTTCTAGGTATTTTTTTGAGTAGTTTCGCTCGAAAAATAAGAATTTTTTTGAAATTTTTTTAATGGTTAACAAAAATTTTTGGGACTTGGAACTGATTTTTCGTAATTTTTCTTCTTCTTGGTCCTTTTTTTAAGTCATTTTTTTCAAGAACTGTTTTTTTAGTTGAATCGTCTTGACAATAAATCTCAAGACTTGAGAAAAAAATTTTGGCATTTTTTTATTTTGGCGGTCCTTGTTTGAGTAATTTGCTTGAAAATCGGAATTTTCAAAAATTTATATCGCAGAAAAATTTTTACGACTTGGAGCAGGTTTTCGTAATTTTCATCTTCTAAGTCCTTTTTGAGTTTTATTTTTCTCGAAAACTATTTTCCGAGGGGCGCGCCGTAGCGCAACAGGTTGTGTGCCTGTCTACGGTCCACAGGGTCACAAGTTCGATCCCCGCCCCGACCCAACCAAGGGGTTTAAGAAATGTTGGTAGTGGGAAACCACGACTTCAAAATCCCCAGCCGTCACACACAAGGACGGATATGTCACTGGAGCCAGTCCACTGATATCAGGATAAGACCTCGGCTAATCGACTTGGGGCGCCGACGCCGCTCAAGCGGTAAAAAGGCGTAGGAAGAAGAAGAAAACTATTTTCCGAGCCTTTTTTGAAAATCCAAAATTTTTGGTTCTTATGGTAATAATGGCCTTGGCGGCGAAAGAAATGAGGCCCAGGCAAGTTCGACTGTTTCATTTTCGTCACAAACAGATTTTGCAGAAGAAAGGCGAGCGAAGCGCGTAATTTTTGAATTTTTTTCTTTTTATTTTTTTCGTTTTTTTAAGTTCTCCAAATTTTTCCCCTTCTAGATCCTTTTTTTGAGAAATTTTTCCTCGAAAACTGGTTTTTTTAAACTTCTCCGACAGAAACATTTTTTTGAGTTGAGTTTCTAATAAAACTGAAAAAAATAATTTTAGATCAACTTACCGTTTTCTGTAATTTTTAAAAATGAAATTATGAAATCGGTAATTTTAATTCTCTGCTTGTGACTTCAAGATGATAATATTTTTATTTTTCCGAAAAAAACCTTGCATTTGAATCAATTTGTGTTAAAATTTACCGTTTGAAATCCAAATCCGTGTTTTTTACGACAAAAAAAAAATGGAATTTTTAGAGTTTTTGATTTTTTTCAAGAAGATAAAAGATATCAGAAACTAGAACTGGCCCCAAAAACTTGTTAAGCCAAATTTTTCAGCAAGCTTTTTCCAGAAAATTAAGAATTTTTCGGGGTTTGAAGTGGCTTTTTTTGAAGCTTCGATTTATAGAAAATTGAAAAAAATCAGATTTTTGACAAAAAAATTTTTTTTGTGTCGAACTCGAAGTTTATCTACAGCTTTTCTAGGCAAAAAATTTCAAATTGAGAAAAAAAATTAGTGTTTTTTCAAGAAATTTTCAATTTTGGACCATTTTTTTGCTTTTTTTGAAAATCATTTTTCAAAACTACCCATCTCTAAAGCTTCAAAAAAACCTTTCCAAACAAAAAAAAAGATGAAAACAAAAAAACTATTGAATTTCAGACAAAGGCAAGCTTTGCAGGGATCTATACGTTTTTCCCTTAAAAATCGAAAAAAAGTAAAAACCTACTGTGATAGTCGACATCTCGTGGCAAAAGGAAGCGAAAAATAAGAAGAAGAAGAAAAAAAAAAGAGTGAAAAGATATATATTTGATGATGAATATCCGAGGGATTAAATGATTACATCGCCGCGGCCCAATGTCTTTATCACCCCGACAACCGAATCTATTTCTTTTTTGGGCTCTTTTTCCATCTTTTCCTCTTCTTCTCTTCATTTATTTTAGGGAATCCTATAGGAGGATTAGCCGGAAAGATGTAGGAAAAGGTTTCTTTTCAGAAAATTTGACGGAAATTTGGATTTTTAAAAAAATTCACAAGCTCGATTTTGAGTTGTTAACTACATCAAGAAGTATGATAAAAAATAAAATGGATAATAATTATGATAAAATGTGTAAAAAAGTTTTCTAAAGAGTTATAGACAAATTTAGGAATGCCAGAGTGGTCCCTAAAGGGCTTAGAAAAAACTCCTATAGGGGTAAAGTTTAGGTGTTCCTAGGTGGCGCAAAGCCCCGCCCCTTCACGCCACCAAAATGACGATTTTTTTGTTGCAGAAACGGTTTTGAGGCGTTTATACTAGCTAAAGTCCCACTTTAAAAATCAACTGTTTTTGTTAATCTATGTAATCGACAACGCTCTACAGGGCTGAAAAACTTTTAAATTATGTATTTTTCAAAAATAAGCGAAAAAGTAAGATTTAACACAAAAAAAACTGACAAGTTTCACAAAATCGACGCGTTTCTCAAAACCAAGTGAGGAACGCTTCCGAATTTTGAGTATGTTATACATTAACACTTTTTTTATTTTTTTGAATGAAAATTTAAAAAAATCTAACGACGCGAAAAAAAAATCGAAGCTTGTAAAGTGACACCAAACTTTGAAGCTGAAATGCGAAAAAATTTCAGCGACATGGTATACTTTTTATTTGATTTTAAAACTCACAATGTGTTCAAAAATAAAAATTAAGAATGAAAATAATTATTGGGACAGCGAATCAAATTATATTTGAGTTTTACCAAAACCTCCTTTTTTCGTCTGCCTCGTTGACGCATGAGAGAATAGGATCGCGTCTATACTTTTGATCAGGTTATTAAGCGTTCAAAACTCTATCAATGAGAAAATTATGAAAAAAATCGATCGACGCGAAAAAAATAACGGCTTTGAAAACCTCGAAAAAATGGCAATTTTTTTTGAAATTTTGGAAGAATTCGTGCAAGCATTCGTAGCTGTGTTTGCGTCAAACACACCGATGCGCCATTTTAAATGTTGCAGGAGCCGTTTTTCGGAGTCAAATTGCACATTTTCCTGTTTTATTTCGAAATAACATTATTTTTCATTTTTTCTTTTTTTCAAACCAAATGATAATAATTTTTCTGATTAGAAAAAAGAAAAATAAGCTGAAAATTCCTTCTGACCTTTTTTCTAAGTAGTTTTTTGATATTTTATCAAAAATTCTTATGAGGATTGTACAAAAGATTCATACCAAAACATGAGGCTCAAGTCGGACAACCTCTCAGAACAGAAAACCGATTCGAAAACGGTCCAGAAACGCGCAAAAACATTTAAAAAGAAAGCGTGCGGCAGCGGGTAAACCGTGAGATTTTGCCTCCAGTTGTACGCCGCGCGCGCTCGTTTTTTGGCCATAACTTTTTTCTTAGTGGAGCTTTTTTCAAAAACTAAACGGATTATGAAAATGGACAGCCTCCTCTATCGAACAGTGTAAAAAACATATTTTTTGATCGTTTTGAAGAAATGGCTTGCGGACCCTAGGTGTTCCCTATAGAGACGTCTACCATTAAGAAGCTCACTTTTATGAAAAAAACTTAAATACGCCAGAGCGTCCCCTATAGTGGACAAGAAGTGCTCAACTCAAGTGGTCCCTCTAGGGGTTTAGAATTTTACCCCTGAGCCCCGAAAGCTTGAGTGGTCCCTATAGGGGTCTTTTAATTATTTTTGTGATTTCAAAGGTTAAAAGACGTATAAGGACCAGTTGCACACACGCCTAGAGTGGCCACTTTTGCAGGCATAGTGCCACTATAGAGAGATCTGAAGTGATCCCTAGAGGGGAACCTTCAAGGACCCCAAAGGTTGCCCTATAGGGACCCCTCTGGCCTTCCAAAAATCTCAAAACTTTCAAACCTGCTGAAAAATATGCTTTTGGTCTCGTTGTAATGAAAAGTTATCGAATAAATTTTCTAGTTTTTCAGCAAATTTTTTTCCCCGTAGGGATTGAACCTGCGACCCCAGATTGCTGAACTTTTGAATCCGAACTGCGCCAAAAAACCGTTCTAACATTTTTTTAAAAAATGATTTTGGAGTGTGTTCCGAAGGGACGTGAAAAATCAGAAAAGAGTAATGGGAAAAAGAAAATAAATTTTATCCCATAAAGAATTTGTGTGTGAAAGAGAGAAAAGGAGATTTTTTTGGACGAAATTTGT